CAGCACTTCAAGGTGGTATCAGAGCCGGATCATAAAATAAGTTTTTATAAAATCTTTTGAATTTCAATCCATGGCTTAATTTTTCAAATCATACATTGCGGAAGGTTATTCAATCAGGAGACCACCTTATTTGAAAATTTTTTTGATTTTTAGAAATTTGCATGACTACTTTCTTGCAATCGATTGATTTTCGCATGTGACATATGATTTAACTGGTTATTCATCACGTCACGTATTGTTAATGGAGTAATAATCAATGGAATAAGGAAGAACAGCTGAATGCTCAACTGAATGCAAAATCTTTAAATTGCTTTTTGTGCTTTAAATTCTGAAGATTTACTGTATCCACTTGCACATGGTAAGGAAGTTGGATAGACTAACATACCATATACGGAAGGCAGAATGAAATCAAGCAATCCAAGTTGAATTTGTTAATACATGATTTTGAAATTATTTTTCCATGAAACCTTATGAAAGATCTTAGACATGTATACCAGATTCATTCAAATTGTAAAACTCATTGCATGCTTAGGAAAAGAATTTTCAAATTTTGAAAAGTTAAACAAAATTCTTCGTTGTCTACTGGATAAGTTTAATGCCAAAGTGCTATTTGTGAATCAAAATATTTGAATGATTATTCTATTGATAATTGATTGGTCACTCATTGTCTACGAACAAGGTTTGGGTCAAGACTTTTGGATGCAGGTGAAAACGATTGTTCTAAAAACTGAAGATACAGAAATAAGATAGCTTAGTTGGTGATGAATGCAACTATGACAAGCAATCACAAGAGCTCACCAAAGCATAAGCAAAGAGGGAAAAAAGGTAAAAGTGGAAGGATGTCCATATTCTTCTGATGTTTTTGCTTCGATGTAGGAAGCCTGGACATATGAAAATCAGTGCCCTAATTTAAAAATTTCCTACGAAAGAAAAGGGCAAGGCGGAAGCAAATTTAAACTGGGAAAATAATGAAAGGCAAAAAATCTCATGGGCAGATCTGATTTCTGAGGCATCGGACCAAGAGAGAGATATATGGTTAAAGCCTTACGTGTTTTGTTGTGTTGTGTTTTTGGTGTTTTCTTTTTTATTTTGTGTGTTTCATTTTTGTTTATTCTTTGAAATTTTTTGTTTTCTCGTGAAAAGTTTTTTCGCTGGATGATACGCCCGACAGATGTCACGATTTTGCTAGAAAAAGAGTAAAAAATCTACTTCCTGTTTTGTCTCTTGATCTTGTGGTAAGTTGTCGATTGCACGTTACTCTTAAAAATAGTCAAAGGATCGAGAACTATGATTATGACTCTCC